TTCCAGATATTTGATTTTAAATATTTCATCTAATCGTATTGTGCAGGAACATAATGTTGCAGAACATTTTAACCAACAATAACCAAGCAGACAACGGGAAGCAATAGGAAAAGCTAGTTATTGGATTTCACGCACATATTAGGGGAGCATTTTATTCCTTTTCTTTCCCACCCCATTATATGCGAATTTAGAATTTAAAATATTGAAGAAAATGTCTAGTTTAAGTTTGAGAGTGAAAAATATGAGTTTTCTTTTGTTCTTTTTTTTTTTATGTATGTTTTACTACTTTAGATATTAATCAAAAAATTGAAAAACTTCAAAAATATTTTCTTTGTGTGTGTTTGTATGAGTTAGTTAGCTGGCAATGATAAATATATTAAATTTTGAATTGATATATGAATAGTGAATATATTGCACGCTTGGGTTGATTTTTACTTTTCCATGTGATAGTTGATATATATTGAGCACACAAATTTCTATATTGTGATTTTAAAGCAGTGTTTAGATTTAATATCATGATTTTAATTTTAAGATAAAATACGAGGTTAGCTAGTTAAATTTTTTTGCATGTTTGTGCATTTATTTATGTTAGGTTATAATTTTGTTTGAGTACAAACAAATATTCAAATTTGGTGGTTTGATAATTGTATGTTATACACTCATTCGAGAGCTTTGAATAATGAAATTTTGTAGTAATTTTGATAAAAGATAGCCTAATTTGTGTTAAATTATGTCTAATAGGTAAAACTCATGATTTGATGAAGGATCAGAGGACAGAAGTGACAAATAGAGAAATGACAAAGTTAAAATTATAGGGACTAAAATGCAACATTTCAATAGTCGCATCGGGGCATAAAATGAAGAGTGAAGATGCTACAAGCTCAATTGAAAACAACTGGAAGCTAAATGGACGAAATCACAAGTGAAATGATCAAAATACACACGTGAGAAAGTTCATAAAAATTTGTATCGTGTTTAAGCATCGGCCTTCAAGCTTTGCGTAAGAAAGGTCACAAAAAGTCATTCCTGAGATTAAATCACGTATATTGTGCTTACGCACCAAATGAATCATGGTTCAATTTCGAGAAAAAAATTTGTTTCCTTATCTAGTTTTGAAAACTTTTGATATACAATTTTTTTACACTCTGTGTATACCAAAAGTCGTCTAAAATGTGGGGAACCTCCTTTTAACCAAAAAAAAATATATATATTTTTTACATATTTGGAAGACGAAGAACAATGCGGAATCATCAACCAAAGGCAAATTATATAAATTTATTGAAGAATATTCATCCATTTTCAAGTTTCAAGCCGATAAATTGGATTTCTCCACTTTCTTCATTATTTCTCGATCCGAGTGATATCTTTTAATTATTTCTTGTATAGTTTAATAATTAAGATAGTTGGCTAGGTTTTTCAATTGTATTGGATGAATGTTTGAACCTTATTTTCATTTATTTCAATTCAAGACATCAATTTAAGAATTTCTTGTTATTGTTTGATTGATACACAGTGCACTAATTATTGGTTGATCACCAATTAAGTAGTTAGTTGCTTATTATAGTGTGGAGATACTTACAATGAAGTCTAGAACGTGGTAAACTCAACATGTGTAGTTAGAATTAGAAATAATCTCTCTCTTACATGCAATCTTAATGATAATCTAAACTAAATGCATGACTTTCATTTGAATTCCGATTAGGAATATGATTGTCTCGTATTAGTTATAGGTCGGATAAAAATGCTTGAGTTCAATAGAATGATTATTGAGAATTGAAATAGATTGAAACAAAGCGATACATGAATCCAATACAAGTATTAACATTAGATTTAACCCTTGTTTTATATTTATTCTTTTTCAAAATGTATTTTTCTCTCTATTCTGTTCAACTATACATTCTTCAATAAAATAACACTATAGCCAAATTCAAAAAAATTTCTTAGTTTTTAACTACACATTTTCTATCAATTTATTATTCCCAAATGCATTATTAGAATATAATGGAACTCAAACATGCCCTTAATCACAATTTGTCACTTTTTTAAGAGTAGAATTAGAATAAATAACAATCGAATCATAACTTTTTGGATGTCACCACACTTTGAATTTAATAACAGCTATTGAACTACAAATTAGACCTTATTCCTTGTGAGACGATACTCTTAACTCACAACTTGTATTATTTGTACATCGATCTCGTACATTTGCGAGTTTTACGTGAACAAAGTGACTAAAATCGTGAAGGAAAAAGTTAATTCTAGAGGTAATAGTCAATGTCATTCATGTAGTGGACATGGCCACGACAAGCAAACATATTCCAATTTACAAAACAGGTGATTATTTATTTATTTTTGCTCATTACTAATATCTTAAGCAACTCATCTAAAATTATTTCCATCTTCTCAGCTCGAATTTGGTGGACGAACTATATAAATATAAATTGTAAGATTTGGGGTGGTTGCAAAGTTTAATTTATTAAAGTGACAGGGAATGGGCTGGGGGAAGCCAAACCACAACAAAAATGAAAGAAAGTGAAAAAGCTGTAAGAAAGTGACAATGGGGGTGTTGGGGGGGAGAAAATCGAAGAAAAGCCATTTTTTTTTAATATATAAATTAAATGGACTGTTGATGTGGCATGCTACATCAGCAGTTGGTAAGAGTGTTCTCGTGCTCTTCGACACAATCTTTAGTTAATTTTTATTTTTTTATTTTATTTCATTTTGACGCAAAAAGTAAAAATGATATGGGATTGTGCATTTCATTTACTACTAGATTCTAACATCTGAAAAATCTTCATGAATAGGGGGAAAAGGGAGGCTGAAATTAGATCCATCCCAAGATTCCTTTGACACAAGTACAACCTTTTATATACGTAAGATAAGATTCGAGGTTGGGGTTTAACCTTTTTTTTTTAAGATAAGATTCGAGGTGGTCATGATGCTATAGATTAGGATTATTCCCTAAAAATTTCACAAGTTTCCTCGCAGCACCTCATTCTTTCTTTCTTTTCTTTTTTTAAATCTTTCAATAATGTTTTGTCATATGTAATTTGTAAAACAATTCTGTAATATATATATACGTGATTCTATAGATTATGACTCTCTGCATTAAGTGAATCATTTAATACTTCATTATTGTTATTTATAAGAATAATGCTATATAGTCCAAGTGGTAAAATATCAACCTACGTACGCAATAGATTCAATTAATAGTATTAATTATGTAATTCATTTAAGAGTAATGATATTCATAATCGCTCACTGCAATAGTCATTCTACGTGACATTCTACATGACAATTAATTTCTTGAAACACACATCCCTATCATTTCAGTCTTTAAAGAAATAAAAGTAGTAGAATCGATCATGTCTTTCACTCCACTATTAAGTCAATATAAATCGAAAACTCCTTTTCGACTTATGAGTACACCTTGGCCAAGGATTTCATCATTGACTTAATTGAATGAAACGCAGATCATAATCTCCTACTATCTAAGAGTGACGAATCCTTTATTGATCAATCACAACCTTCATACGATTCTTGACGTACCCGAACGATGTCGTATTAGCGGCTCTTTTCAGAGCAACATCCAACACCGCCAAAGTATGACTGTCCTCATATAAGGTACCATGACGACCTCAAGTCAAAGGACCAATTTCACTACCGAACGTTAGAGATTAACCACCGACACTCAGATAGTTATCCATGTGGAATCTCTCGACGGGTCTCCAATGTTTTGTTCTATAACAAACATCCACGTGTTCATTTAAGTGTCACCACACTTTAGCTTGTGAGATCAGCTACTTACTTCACAAGTAAGAAATGACACACGTGATGGTCTATCCGTAATAACGATATCCGTATCTCGTTATTACTTACGACCACGGATGATTTAAGATTCAATCAGATGTAATTTGTATCTCACAATCACAACTCCTTGTGATTAACAAATTACAAATATTTGAATCTACGGACTCTATTATTTATTTAATTATCTATTAATTAAATAATAGATCTGTCATTTATTTGCATTAATTATATATAAAAGTATTTATGTCCAAAGTCGATTGGACCTAGGGCATAATACTTACAAGTACAACCTTTTATATATGTAAGATAAGATTCGAGGTTGGGGTTTAACCTTTTTTTTTTAAGATAAGATTCGAGATGGTCATGATGCTATAGATTAGGATTATTCCCTAAAAATTTCACAAGTTTCCTCGCAGCACCTCATTCTTTCTTTCTTTTCTTTTTTTAAATCTTTCAATAATGTTTTGTCATATGTAATTTGTAAAACAATTCTGTAATATATATATACGTGTAGCGTGATTCTATAGATTATGACTCTCTGCATTAAGTGAATCATTTAATACTTCATTATTGTTATTTATAAGAATAATGCTATATAGTCCAAGTGGTAAAATATCAACCTACGTACGCAATAGATTCAATTAATAGTATTAATTATGTAATTCATTTAAGAGTAATATTATTCATAATCGCTCACTGCAATAGTCATTCTACGTGACATTCTACATGACAATTAATTTCTCGAAACACACATCCCTATCATTTCAGTCTTTAAAGAAATAAAAGTAGTAGAATTTCAATTGTCGGCATCAAGGAACTAGAAAACTCCATTCTCATCATATTGAGCCTAGATTGATTAAGAGGGTACAAAAGTGACTGAAAATAGTTTGGTAAACGGAAGCCGCAACGAGGGTCTTATGGGGGTGGCGGGAATATTCTTGACACTGATTAAAGCCATCTCTCCCTCTCACACACAGAGTACAATGGACTGGACTCAGCCATGTCCAAGTCCAACATTAGATTAGGCTAAAAGATTTGATCCAATGTAACCATGCCATAGATAGCTAACTCGGAATCTGGGATGTAGTGGTAAAATGCACACTTGAATAGAAATCATCGAGAATACTTTCTTTAAATATTAATCCCCATTTACAGAAGCATGCCCCTGCCTTTTGTAAAGACGCATCGGCTATCAATCAAGTTATTTAGCTGTAAGATTATAGAATTTATTTACACAAGCAAATGACACAACAAGTGAGAAACAAGAAATAGTGAAAAAATAACCCCGACAACATAACTATAATTATTATTAACTTGGAGTTCTTTTTCCCAGCCTCCTCAGGTATCGAAACTACAGCCAAGTTATTGCGTCTTCTTCGGTTAAAAGCTACAGGGTGTACATCAGAAATTCAAAGACATCTCTTAACTTTTAAGAAACCATCAGTATCCACATTTGAATAGTACAGTACAAGAGGAGATAAAATTAGCGGCAGCATCATCAAGTAGCTCCAGTTGAAGGATAAAGCAGATTTGGAGGTAGATTGATGACTCCGCCTCCTTTCATGGATATATTAGGACTTTTGGTTGAGCATGCCTTGCTCACAAGATGTGAGTCGAGAAACACAACAATAACAGTGATGTCATCATGGAAATGCCGACGGACTCCACGCTCAATTTTCTTTAAGTCGGAGTACCTCATTTCCCTCTTCTTCGCAGCTTCTTGCAGTGCTGCTTTCACTAATCTCCTAGCACTCCCCTGCACAAATGAGCCGAACTAAAATTGTAATACTTCTTGTACTCTTAAGGAGGAGGAGAGCTGAACTCAAAAGTTATTTATTTTGAAACAGGCTACTGTGCAGCAATAATGGCAAGAATTGGTAAATACGGGTGTTATTGGGCAATTTTATCGGAAATTTTTTAACTATGTTAATTTTAAAACAGGCTATTGTGCATCAATAATGGCGAGAATTGGTAAATATGGGTGTTATTGGGAAACTTTATCGTAATTTTGTTTTAACTATGTTACATAGTATTTTTCGCATTAGAAAGCCATTAATATTTGAAGCATTAATTATCTTACACCGTGTGGATGATTTTGGACTAGATCAACAGCTTCTTGGTTGGTGAGGTGTTCCCACAGGCCATCTGACGCAAATATAATGAATTGATCTTGAGGTAGCAATTGGTGCACAGAAATTGAAGGTTCTGAGCTCAAAATTGGTCTTTTGAAAGATTCAAGGAGTCGAAACTTAGCGTGTAATGGCTCCCTATTGAATTCAGCCTTCTTCAAATACACATCACCAATTGATCTAGATATCTGCTAGCAACATCAAACTCAAGATGTATCACAATTCATCAAGTAAAATCAGACAGAACATTATCCCGGCTAGCTGATAGATATCATCTTCAACTGGCTGCCATGCGAAAATGTGCAGCAGGACCTAATTTCAAAATTCATAAAATGCCAGCAGATAAAATTCACCACAATGATTCACTAACCTGTATAATGCCCTTAACACGCCACACATTATGCTTTAGAACTACTATTTGCGAGTCATCTGGGTGAAGAGATTGCAGTTCCTGTCTCACAGATTCAATACTAGCATTGTGTTCTGTTGAGAGCTGAATGGCCAGTACTTCCCCTGTTGCCCTGACAAGCCTGCCCATAACAGCTCGGGAATCGCCAAGGTTGGCAACATAGAGAGTTGAGTTGCAGATAACTCCAACGAGGCAGCATGTGCCAACCGATGCTATCTGTGGTTTAGTTGGCCACAGTTTGCTGACAATCGAGAAAAAACCATTTTCTGTCGCTTGAAATGCCTTCCGAATTACCTCTGGCGACATAGTTTGATGCTCGGAGGTGAACACTGCACAATTCAAAAAATAGTTTTTGAGCTCAAAACCATAAAATTCTTGAGAGATTAGTTAAATAGCACAGGGATTAGTTACCCTTATCACTTTTACAGCTATAAGTCGGCAGTTTAAGTTTTGTAATCCAACTTCATATCTCACAAGAAACATTAGCAAACTAGGAAACTCAAAATTGACAAGTAATACAGATATTTGAGTTAACAACCGTAATAATTAGTAATAGGAGCATATATAAAAAAGACCAATTATGACATCTTGAAGTCTTTTTCTATCTTTTTTCTTTCTTGGGAGAGTCAAACATTGAAACTAATTAAAAATCATTGACGAGTTAACTTCTAAGGACTTACCTCTAAGATGTTGGAAGAGGTTATCATTGACAAATCGAGAAGCCTCAGGACCACCGTGTCCATCATAAATCCCCACAAAAGTGCCATATGGCCCAGAACCAAGGGCACCTAAACTACCTGATTCAAGTTGGCTCTGATCCTCAATTAAATTATTAGCTTGAACTACCGCCATTGAAAACTCTCCATTAAAATGCTGTCCTGTGTCCTTATTCCACAGAAGCCCTACTTGATGACCACTAATATCCGAACCCGTGTGAACATATGGATCTGCTTTCGGCCGAAAGCAGGCCCTCAATAAGTTCATCAATCCCGATAACATACCTCATTTCATCAAAACCACCCTCCACATCTAATGATGACTTGAGCTAATTCTGTCCACCTCAGCAGAAAAGACTGCACAAAAGGTCTAGATGAACACGAATATCAAGCACAAAACAAACAGAATTATAATTTGAAAAATAACAATCCAACAAATGAAGTGCACCAGAAATACATAAAGGTCCCAACTTTATGATCAATTCAGCTGAAACAGATCTTTGCCTAAAAACAGAGGGGGAAGAAAAAAGGACACGAACACAACAGCCTTTAGAAATTAAGAAAAGTAGACACCAAGAAAAAAGTGAGGGAGATTTTCAATAGAGTAATGCTATTAGCATGTGTTACAACATCCGTCTAAGTGCGCTATGTGTCATTATATGGTGACAATTAGACTGGTACGGTCAGCTAGTTCTCATTCCAAAAAGATCAATTCCCAACAAAGAGAGAAATATAAAACAAGAATCCAATTTATTGAAATCATGAAACTCCCCAGTCACAGTAATTCAATTCAAAAATCACATCTTCCCCCAAATAAAAGAGCAAAAAACACACATGCAAACATGGGATTGTAGAAAAATCTGTAAAAGATGTTACCTTCAAGAATCGAAAGAGAGGAACATCTGAAAGTGAAATGGATTAGATCTGTGGATCCACCAAATCAAGAAGAAATTGACATGGGTTTATGTGATTTTAAAAGTTCTCCTCTCTTCTCTTAGAGGCATGAAGATGATGAAGATGATGAGGTGATGGAATAGCGAAAACAACATATAGAGATAGAAGCTGAGTTGGAGTTCTCTAGCAGATAGCGATATTACCATAAGCAAATTAGGGTTTAATTGATTCGGCGATCTGAAACTAGCGTCTCTGTCAACAGACAAACCCCATAAAAACCAACAGTGTAGAGTGCTATAAACGGGTGGGTAAATAGACGAGATGAAGTTTGACCAATCGTGCTATAATAAGATTGTGGATTCCTTTTGGATGACATTGTACGTGGCAGAAATGTCCAGGTAACAAAATTTTAAGGATTTTAATGTCCAGGTAACAAACCTGGTGGTAGAGAAGCCTCTTTAACAGCAATGGGTGGGGGACCCATTACTTAAAAAATGCCAAAAAATACACGCTCACCCCTCAAATGTGAGTGAAGCTGCTCTACCTAGAGAGCATAGTCCAAATTTTAATGAGTTATTTTAAAATAAGAAATGTCAACGAAGACGTCAAATTCATTTAATTACAAAAATAAATTCAAATTTGACTCACGCCTTGTTGGGGGCATATTTGGCCTTGTTTGAACTCCATTTCCGTGTCATTAAAGAATATGCGATTAAAAAATAAGGAAAAATTTTAAATTTGCGTGTAAAATTATTTTATGAAAAAATGTGTAATTGAAAATGTAGAACCCCAAATAATTCTAAACACCTTAGTGGCACTAAGACATGAATATTGGATGACTAAAGTATACTTCAAATTTTTAGTCTCATTTGAGACTCATTTTCGACATAGGAAACATTCGATTTGGAAAATAATATCTAAATAAAAGTTGTAACTCTTTGAGTTAGCTTTCCAACGCACTTTGAATTACCTCAATTGGATATCGGGAGAAGAAGTTATGAGGGAAACACTGAAAACTGTGCAGTGTCAACCGGACTACAACCGATCGACCGAAACTGCCTGAAATGAAAATTCTCGTTTTTCTCTAAAATTTAAATATTTATTTTCATCAATTATTTTCTCAAAGGGCCACCCACGTTTTTTGTAATAAAAACCCCACTAAATTGAAGCATTTAATCTCAAATTTAAATGGCACCCATGTTTTCTCTTTTAAATGAAATTTGACCCTTCATTTGCTTTAAGTTATGGGATATTTACCTATAAATAGAGATCTCGTTTCACTCGTTTTTTCTCACACCAAAAGCAAGAACTTTTACATACTAAAGAAAGAGTTTCCAAGAGAGAAAAAAAAGAAAGAGGAAAACTATTTTTCCTATAAGTTTAAAAAATGTTTCCAAGCATTTTTCATAAAAGTTTTGGGTGCTATCAAGGAGTGTCTTCAAGCATCAATTCTCAATGGTTTTCAAACATCTAAGGAGTGCATTTCTTTCAACATCCAAATTTCATTAAAGTTTTCAATCCAAATTTTCAAAGTTTCAAAAACATCAATCAAGGTAGGTAGATGTGTAATGTGTTTAATCGTATTAAGTTATAAGTTTCGATTCATATTAATGTGTTGTATGTCAAATGGTACTCCGATACGGCATACCCCTCTATGTTGAAGAAATGTTCATACGTCAAATGGTGCCCTCGGGTACAGCATACTCCTTCATGTCAAATGGTGCCTCCGGGTACGGCATGTATAAAAAGTTATAAAGTTAATGTTTTGAAATATATAGCTTGATCACGTATGCACCTATGACACTTATTGAATTTTTCAACTCACGGGTTTAATCTCATCTCTACAAATTGAAGGAATTATACCTCGGGCACGGATGAAGGAGAAGATGGAGAGTGATGCAACGAGCCCATGAAAATCCGGTGAATAAGTGATTTGGATTTATTTTTATGAAATGTTTTCCAATATTATTTTTTTAAAGTTTTGAATAACGCAAAATGCGAGAACAAGTTATGTTTTCTTCAAATAAATTACATTTTGTTGTTTTGAAAAATGATTCAGTATTTTGTTTAAAGTATTTGAAGTATTGTTATTTAAATTATTATCCGAAAATGTAAGCTTCCGCTAAAACGTATATACTTGTTACTAAACCATCGGTTAAGCTAAGTAAAGTAAGTAGCGTTCCAATCCACTAGGGGTCGGGGTGTTACAGAAAAAATAGAGATCAAACATAAAGCTAAAATCTTATCTTTAATAGATTTTGATAAAAAATAATAAGAGAAAATTATTTGAAATGTCCACTTTCACAAATTCTTGTAAAAATGTCAATTTTGAAATATTTTGGACTTGTGAACAATTTATTATTCCACACGAAGACAAGAAATTGACATTTTTGCAAAAAATTTATTGGCCGATAAATTTTTAACACATAACCTGCCATATTTATTTCAAAAGTGCACATGTCAAATAACAATTAATGTTATTTTTCTTATTGACAGAGAAACGTCGAGAATTACATTTCAAGTGTAGAGAAATGACATATTCGGAATGAAATGTCATTCTAGATATTTAAAATGTCGAGAACATTTAATATTGTGATTTGACATGTGTACTTTTAAAACATAAACAAGATTCAAATATCGAGATTGACATTTGAAATGTCGATAATATCATTTTAATGTAGCTTATCATGGAAGCTACTTCTCGAAATTCGCAACAAATTGAAAAAATAAATAAATTGCTTCTTTTTTTTATTAAGGGCACAATAGAAAGTTTAGTGCTAAATTTAAAAGGTGGACATTTTTCAATTGACACCTATGAAATTAGACATTTTTTAAAATACCCAAATCATAAAGAATAATGCTATTTAGCTCTACTAGAATTATAATCACAGTCTATGTGGTGCTAATGTGACAATAAGAGTATGTTTGATTGACTTTATTTTTCATGAAAAACTTTGATTTTCCACCAAATTTCTATTTTTTGAGTGTTTAATTGACAATTTGTTCCATTAAAAATGTTTGATTGTTTTTCGACTTCTGGTCTTGTGACCATATTTTCCTAAAAAATAAGGAAAATATTTTCTTTAGGGAAATATGATTTTTATTTTTCAAGTAATCCACACACACACACACTCTCTCTCTCTCTCTCTCTCTCTCTCTTTGTCTCTTGTCTATCCACTCCATCTCTCATCCATCTATCAATAAAAAATAGATAAGTATAATATTTTTTAAATTAAAAATTAAATCGATCAAACACATTTAATTAATAATTTTCATACATATAAGTTCTAGGTCATTGCCTATAACTTATTTTCTTTTCATGTAAATTTTATGTTCGCAATCAAATGAACCTTAAATGATAGGCTAAATGAAAAGTAGAGTTAAATTACATATTTAATTGTACTTATCATTTTAATGTCACATTAACACTACATGGAATAACTCCGATGAGGTTAAATAGCATTACTCAATAATTAAATTCTATTAAATATATAATTAAATTTAATTGTAAACTTTAACTTTGATAAAAACACCTATGGATAAGGGGCATAACATACTAAAGCCATGTTTGAACCACAATATTTGGGGAAAAAAATGCATTATTAAACAATGATTTGATATCATTTCAACTATACATTCTTCAATAAAATAATATTAAATACAAATCCAAAAAAATTTCCTTATTTTTTTAACTACACATTTTCTATCAATACACTATTTAAAAATGCTTTTTTTTCCAAAATAATGTGGTTTAAACAGGACTAAGTGAGATAATTAGCTGATTTATAAGATAAAGTCTCATCTCAAAGTTTAAATTCTTTAACAATGATGCTACCGGAAGGAAGTTCCATTGTCAGTTTAGAATAAACCAACATTACTGGCAGAAAACAAAATTGGTTCATGAGATACTTGCCATTCGCTATGAATAGTCGTGATCATTTTATAAATAGTTTGATTAGAAAGAAGGATTTTAGCTAGCTTTTTTATGTTTGTTATTTGGCATAGTCCATAGAAAGATGTTCAAGTCAATTCAAAGGTCTCTCTCTACCCTCAAAAATTTACAAATTGGAAAGAGGGATGCTAGATGGGCAGGGCCACGACTCTCTCTACCCTCAAAAATTTACAAATTGGAATGAGGGATGCTGGATGGACAGGCCCACGTGGCCCTGTCCAAGAAGATTTAGTCAATTGGAATTTGGAAGAAACTGTTTGTACAGTACCCTCACTGTGCTGTGGGGTTTAGGCCATTTTTTAATGGTGCGGGCCCCCGATGTGACCGTACTTTGATATAAAAGGTTGTTATGAAAGTTGTAGTTAATTCTGTCATGCACGGCTGACTTTATTGTGGGCAAACCATAAAATTATTTGCATGGTGTCATTTTGTTATGTGACCCCTTCTCCAGATAAAATTTATTGAAAGTTTGTTTAGAACTGAAGTCGGGAGCAAAAAATACATTTTGTTTATTTAAATTATTTCATAAATTCAGTAGATAATAAAATATATGTTGTGGTAATGATAAAATTTAATGCATTAACAACAAAATAAATGAAGGACTCATTTGAGGTCACGAATCAATTCAATGCTAAACACCAAACAACTCAACGTACAAATTGTGGATGAACGTCCAACAAGATTAAACAAAAGTACTTTGGCCCGCCGCAAGCTCACAAACAAGATAAACTTTGATCAAATAAGATCATTCACCTCGTCAATGAAATCACTTTATATAAGTTTAGCACGTATGTTGATAAATTAAAAATAATATGTGTCAGGGAAAAGGAAAAACATAGTTAGATAGTCACACAAGACTCAAATGACAAGTTGACACTGGAAACGACTTTTTGTGTAAACAAATCCCATGAGTTTTATTGGTATAAAACACTTTCTATTGTTGGTGTACGAGAAGATATTGTGACACTAATTTACTTGATGATATTCTTAAATGGATAAAGACAACATAAAGAATTGAAAAAATATAAGAAACACGTAACTAAATTGAAGAAATTCCAATGATCAATTCATTTTCTCTTGTATACATTGGAAAAACAAGTTGAGTACACCAAATTCGACAAATTTTGAAATTCTTAACCAAGTACAGCAAGCCATCGACAACATGGTAGATTTCATAGTATTATTGGAATAATAAGTATGAGGTTCACCAAGCAATGAGTGCAAGAAAAAGGTCAATTATGGGACCTTCGTGAATTGGAATGTAGCAATGAAAATTATTAGATGTCAAAAGAAAATGCACGACCGATGAAATTTGCCTTGCCTTATCCTAACCACCATCTAGAAAATGACTCACAGG